CCAATGTCAACTATGAAATTTTATGGTTACGTTTGTCTATTATCTTTATCTTGTGTTTATTGCCGTGGCCTCTTCTCTTTTCATTTCATATTGAAGGGTATTTAAGAGAATTTATATTTAATATAATAATCTATATAATAATCATTTACAAAAGAGGAGCTTCAATATTGCTTGTGATTAAATTTGTATACTCATGAATCGGTACTGGTAAAATTATACAAAACTAACAGTAAATGAATACATTGATTTATATTATATTTTGAGTAATAGCATAATATAAGAAGCAAATTATTTTAAAAAGAAAGTGATTTTACGTGCGATAGAAAATGTTTAGAAAAGAATTAGCGCAATTAATTAACAACATTATTCTGTGAAGATATCGCACAATATACGTACAACAACAAAGTAACGTTACAACGTAAAACAAACCCATACAAAATATACTATGGTACTGAGAGTCCTGGGGCTTAATTTTTAAAAATCAGTGGAATGATTTATATAACGCCATTCACAGTTGAAATTAATTAAAGTATACAATATTTTTATATTATTAGTAGTATTTTTAAAATATATATGGACCATTTTGTACCTACTACCTGTATATATGCACAATTTAGCCTGCCACGGGTACTATTAAATACTTCAAATTAACATAGAGCTTAGTTTAGCAGTAGATTTTTATCTTATGAAAATTGTTAGCGACGGCGTTACGTAATGAAATAGCTCCGTTATTAAATTATTTCAAAAACATCTGAGTGCAAACATAATATAAAAATCTGGTAAATATGGAAACAGGAAATCATGTAACATTTGCTCTCATCGTATCTTCTGTTTGTATATTACGCTTTAATAAATTTGCGTCGTCTGTAAAGGTACGAAGATTGCCTCAAATATTTAGCAAGGTTTTATATATAGCTTATTAGTATATTTCAAACTGTTATGGCCATTAATTCAGAATGAGTGTATCTTGAAGCGAGCCCGTATTTTCAACCGCAGTGTAAATATTTTAACATTCGGCTAGTTCCAGCGGTCGTCATGTGCCGACAACACTGGATGTGCCTCGAAATGCTCAAATCTCACTGGACATGGCATCCTGGGATTTGTTCATGCATTTTCTCACTGATTTATGTATTTATACAGTACCCAAACAGAAGCCGACCCGATTGTCGTTCCCACCACAGAGCTATGAAAATTAAGTGCATTAATGGATATGATATGTTACGAAATTATAGAATGTATTAAACATATACTTGACTATAATCTATTCTTGTTTGTTTGTTACATTTAAAATGGGCTGAACGAAATATAATACAATTTGACGTGAACATAGATTGTATCATTAGAACGGGCATATACTGTCTTCTATTCTATCGTGGAGCAACATGCAAGTTTCTTGCTCGTTCTTCGTGATAAGTCTGCATTCCAAATGAGTGGAGAATAACAAAATGTGACTAATCAGAAGTGCTTATATTAAGTTTATTTGAATAAAGATTATTTCTATTTACAGATCTCAAAAAAAAAAAGAAATGTCTCGGTAGGAACTGGCTGACGTCTTAATTCACATATGTAAAGTGTTTATTAAAATTTTGTTGTCACATCCAAAGTAGAGATGTTTCTTGTTCCTGTAATATCTAAGTCCCAACAAAAGGATAAATGTATTCCGGTTGGACCCGACTAATTCTGTGTGTATTGCCCCTGTTTCCTAGTTAATTCATGATTCCTTTGTTTCTGTGTACAATGTGTTTATAACATTACACCTTATTACTGATATCCTAAATTTTAATGATACAATCTATGTTTTCTGTTCGCAATGAATTTTTATTAAAGTGGTATTAAGTGTAACAATCATATGAACATTACTGGGGATATCACGTCATTATGTGACATATCATGCATTACCATTCCAGTGGACTAGTGTCATGCCTCTATACCCTATAATTTCTCTGCTATATCTCACCCTTCAATCAAACACAATTTGCATAGCTTGGCGGTTGAAAATGAATGGACCCACGCAGACAACATTGTACCGGTGTGTCGGTTCTTTTATAAATTGGAATAGCAAAAAGCTGACGGCCTACCTAAGCGGTAACTGTCGGCTATATACAGGAACAGTACCAAGAATATCATATGGCGCTCACCATACCACTCATGTGTTGCCATTTCAAAAGACTAAAGATGCCCTGTTTGATTGCCTAGCTTGATCTGCACCTTACAATATATACTTATAAACACACCTTATAGAGTAATACTGAAATAGGTGAGACTGAGTTACCTCAATGACTTTTTACAGTCAGCTCTGACAAAAATAATGTTAAAGTCAAAGTAATTTATTAATTTAGAATGTCTTCTTATGGATTTCTTGAATATGAATAAATTAGACTAGCCGCAATTAACACATAACTTATTTAATAATCACACATTGTCTCTCCATCGGTTGCGGTTTAATCATTAACCGTAAAAATATAATGAATGTAGCGTCATGACGTTTAAAACTGCTTATTATTTAAATTGATTAATTAGATGGCCGTCTAGCTTCCATTAGCTGTTTGTTCACCTGTACAGATCGATATAATATAATCCAATCGTATCTTGGTAAAATTAACGTTGTTTTTGTGGGCGATATTCAAAGTTGTAATATTGTTATGACGTACATTCTTATTATTTGTATAGGTAATTAGGTATTACTAGCGACTTCTGATTTATTTTCAAGATAAAATGTATCCTACATAGACTCTACGTCTCTATTTATATATAAAATTTCATTGAGATCCTTTCAGCTGTTTATTTGTGAAAACGTAACAAATAGACACACATAAACACACACACACACACATAGAGACGCAGTCACATAGTTTTACATCTATACGTGTGTTTGTCACGTAACTTCCCTACGACTGTATATATTTAAGTGAAGTATATGTGTGCATATTTCAATGGATTCTTAGATGGTTTAAAAACACAATTTGAATTGATAGCAATGCTTTTACTTTTCCTTGGTTGATATATGTTGGTCCCGCTAGTATTATTGCAAATTAATAGTGAATTTTGCTGATTTACTTATTCCATTGGACGATAAGTATCATTACATTACTATAAAATAAAGTCAATTTAAGCTTAAATCTTTAAACGGATTCAAAATCCGAAATTTTTAATAGATAGAGTAATAGAGAAAGGTTTATATATACATAATACATGTACACCCGTGCAAAGCCGGGGTGGGTAGCTAGTAAAGAAATAAATAAATACAAATTGAATAAAAACTAGACATTACTAAATCCAAAACTGTTTTAAACTAAATAAACTCTACAAGAATTACTTATAAAAATGTTCGCTAATGCGTTTGAGGAAATAAATAATGCTTTAAGAATGCTCTTAGCCATCTCTTAACACGTTTACACTGAAGAAATAATAAAGGATAGGAGGAAAACATGGATTCACTCTCTTGATGTATCACAATAGGGTTCGTAGTGTCTAATAAAATATATATATATATGTATGTATATATATACATACATATACATCAAAACATCGAATGACTCGAAAAACTAACCCCTTTATTCTAATCTGTTTTCAAAGTCGTCATCAGTTTTTTTAAGACAAAGCCTTGGCTATCTGTTCCACTGATTGTTCATGCCAAATTTTATTAATATCCGTTTAGGCATGTAGTTCTGAAAAAGACAGACAGGCTTTCGCATTTATAATCTTAATCATGGATGGAAGGATACGCAGAGTGCATTTTCTGTAGGCACAAATATTTTAAAATTTATATTATATATATTTAAAAGTACAGTCGGTCTCGGTGGTCTAACTGTTTAGCATACTGCCTTACTTCCGATGGTCGCGGGTTCGATTACTCGCACGGCACAAATATTGTTATTTATGAGTATGATTGTGTATATCGGTTTTGATGTTTTCTATGTATAATATGTATATATTTACGAAAAACAAATATATCTATGTAACTGTGTCAGGTATCTAGTATCTATAAACAAATTTTAGCTGTCATAACTTGCGTCTAGATAGAGCTGTGAGAATTGTCCTGAAATTATTATTATTAGACTATTTTATTCGCTGATAATGTAGCTGTCTATAGTCGATTGGAGGCCTAGTGGTTTAATAGCTAGAAATTTCATCCAAGTGGTCGTGAGTTGACACCAAGAAAAAAAGACTTTGTGTCAATTTACATTTGTGACTAACTCCCCTGTAAAAGAAAACATTCAAAGTTAAAAGGTTTTATACCTATCCATTGTTATTCCTCAATGAATATTCGGCTTCTTTGTAATTTTCTCCATGCGAGTCTTTTTTGATATTCATGTGCCTACATTAACTACAATTTAACACTCTTATTAGGTTTTATATGGGCAAGATAATAGCTTTTTCTTTTCTTATCCTTTAATTTTTTTACCCGTCTCTACGTAAACTGTGTTCTGTATGGCGACCATTTTGGGTATGTTTTTGAAATAATAGCATCAATAATAAAGTATTTAAATTTATTCAATACATACTAAAGTAAGTTTAAATGATATTTATAACGAGAAATTTTATTAACATCTAATGAATCAAGTATTGTTATTTATTTAATTAGAATTAAGTACACAAAAATAAATATTGGTATTACTGATCAGAGGACTATTACCTAATATTATTATAAATAATCTAACACAATACAATAAATAACATCAGAGCATAAATTTATAAATAGAATCATATTATTTCTTTGTAAGGTACAGTTTCCCATCTCAGTTCTGCACAAACGGACATCCGCTCTCTGGGAAACGATACTGATTTCACTAGTAATTTCCGTGAACAGTCTTTCAAAAAGGAAAATATGAGTAGGTACCAATATGATTTACAAAAATTGCTTATTGAATATCTTTTGAATTATTGATATTACATTTCCACCAGTATTTACAATATTTATTTAAAATATGACCATTTTATAAGAATTTTAATTTTAAATTTGAAGTTCTGATTTTTAAATTGGTATTATTTTGTTACAGAGGCCGTGCAACTGTCAGCGAGCGCGAAAGCGTTGCCATTGTTTTCGACCACATAGCAACGAAATATGGCTCTTTTCGAGATACTCCACCGGCTGGAAGTGAGTACCCTTTGTTCAGCTAAATAAATTAAAACCCCACACGGTCACAAAAAAATTCTTCAACGTCTGCGGTATATTTAGGTATTTCATTTATTTCCTATTCATAAGCGTGCTTTTGTGCGCTTTCAAATATTTGAATTTGGAATTTTTGTCGAGTAGGGCAAGCTGTTTAAATACACCACATGTCGTATTGTGATGTGTGGTAAACAATTCCAATTCTAAATTCTTTTACGCTACGGTATTGCACTCACGAGGAGACCGACGCAGAATGTTTCGTATAATACGTTCTGGTTCATTTTACGTCACTAAAATAGTTTTTTTTTTAATTTGCCGCTTTAATAAAGGCACGGGTGGCTTGCTGTAGAGTTATCGTGATTACATTATCGTCACATTAATGCTAACAGTGGCGCGATAATTTACATGGTAGCAAAACTAAAGGATAAATTTGAATATTAATTTATTATTGTTCCCGAAATAGAGGGACACATGATTACATCAGCGTATGGCGCCATCCATGACGGCCTTGTGCCTGTCATTACCCATTCGTTTTGGGCATGCAAATGTGCCGAGCTTGAAGTACTCCATTTGATGTATTCGAAATACAAAACACCTCTTCTGACCATTGTCTGCTGCCCATTGGGATTATTCGGCTGGCGGACCAAACGTGACTGATTTTGTTAATTGGAAACGAATTTCAATTTGATTGGTCGCTTCCCATTGTTTATAAATTTATTGAAGTATGCATTACAAATGACTTTATTAAGTATTTATTGAGCTTGAAATAAATTATATATATATATTGTCCTTATTTTTTTAAACAACATAATATAAAGTGAAAAAATTTTTTGTACGTATATTTCTTACATTTTGCGTCAATGAATAGTCATGAACTTAAGTATTTCCGTAGCGTTTGGGACGAAGTGGAACAAATAATGCTTTGTATAATATTATTTTGAAGTCGTGTAAGTAAAACTAATAAGTTAAATATTATTTTCGTCGAGTTCGGTTTTTTCATTTAGGAGCTATGATGCCACAAATAGTCAAAACTTAGAACACTTCAATTTTTGCGTTGGGGGATATTAAATAATATTATTAAAATATTCTTTTATCCGACTTCAAAAACGGAGGAGATTGGCAGTTCGGCAGTTTTTTTTGTTGTTATTTTAAATTTTACATCACAATACATAAGGGAACTGACAATTATAATTAACCTTGACTTCGTCCCGCAATAATGGCGCGTATAAAATTTTCAACTCCACATACAGAGCGAGTTTGTTTCAGAAATTAGTTGCTTTAATTAATACCGCCCCCGACAGCGTCGAACAATGTCGGCGGCTGCTTCGGTACGCAATGACGATTTTAATAATTATTCACTTTTAGCCGTCACACGCGATTCCACCCGCCGTTTATTTTTTTTTAAATTGACTATTTTTGATTATCGTCCATATTGATTTTTTTTTCATTCGTCTCTTCTTTTTTATGTAATTAGTAATGCTTAAGCTACGTACATCAAAAGAGTCTACGTACATCACTTTCCAAAGGACTTGCCTCTGATCCTGTAATTTCACTGCCTAATCTAAACACTACAACCGAAACAGTTTGCAATGCAAGGTGCTTTGTAGCTGAAATAGGTGAAACTGAAGTACCCACGCTATTCCAAAATTTAGCGCATCAAACAAACAATCTCATGGAGCATTATTTGTTAGTATATATGTCGTACCACCTTAATACCATCGGTTGATGACTCCCGGCGGTATTAGCAACCACTGTTAAACAATTATTATATAGCGAGCTGTTGATTAAATCAGTACTTTGTAATGGAGCGTCTCATTGTCATGCTTGGTGTGTAATCGGCAAATTACCACACCATTATCCTGTGGTATATACTGATTTGTAGTGCTATTTATTTTCTATGATATATGGTATTTGTTTGTGGTATTGATTTCTAGTGGTATATATCTGGTGGCATTTACATCTGAACCAATTAGTATGCAACAAATACTAAATATTATGGAAATATTTAAAACTAGTAATTCGTTGCGTGCTTTAAAAATAGTAAGCGCAGAATCAGACAGATAGACAAACGAATATAGCGACCTTGCTATGGTATATACTGAGATACGATGTCAAAAAATATATAATATGTAATTTCGTCTTTGCGCTATGTATATTAATGTAAACAAGCTGGATTTGAAAAACAAAGAAATTCTGTTAATATTCTTGCCAGTTCTTCCCAATTGAACTGTACAGTTGCGAAAAAATATTAATACAAAATATTTGACGTTGAGTCACATTATACCTGTTCTTGCAATATTTTTCATTGCAGCTCCACAGCGTATTGGTGATAGCGTGATGTTATATAGCATATAGCCTTCCTCGATGAAAGGACTAAAAAATCTGAAAGAATTTAAAAAATCGTATTAGTCCCTTTGATTGTTGCGAACATCCAAACTCTCAAATTTTACATCTTTATAATATTAGTATATATAAATATATCTTAACACATCCCCTATATTCATATGTGTGAACATATAAGAGTTATTGATTGAGATTTCGAAAATGATAAAGGCAAAGGGTAGCACAGACCATCCCCATATTGCGATGTGATGGAATTAATCTGCCCTTAATGCGATTATTGAGATAAGATAACGTTCACTAAGATTTTACGTCACTGAACCCTCTCAATGTAATAAGTACTTTCATATGCTTGCTGCGGTTTGAAAATCACCATTGGTGAATTGAAGGTTTACTCCGTGTAAATATCAACTTTATGTAGTATATATTTAAGTTGTTAATGCAAAAGCAATGCTACTTTTGTTTATAAACAATAAAATTTTATATTCATGGTCTTATATCTATAACCTATACATTGGACTTTGATTAACATTATATTGTCAATCAGCAATCATCAAAACTCAATGAGTTTGGCCTCATATGATTTCGTTTAGTATCACTGGTTAATATACAGTGCTTATAACCGGCTAATAAAGATCAATATGGCATGTTACCGTTCGTATAATTTTAGTTTAAAAGTTAGATTAGCAATTTTAATGATTTGGAAAGTCTGTCGCACTGATTTAACGATTTTTGTGTACTTACTTCCTATAGGTGTCTTCTATTTTTTACCTATCCTTAGTGTCATTTATACGGGGTCAGCCCGTCTGGTCTATCTTTGCCACTACAGTCTGTTCTGAGTCTTCTGAGATGTTAATTCGGCATTTCGTGAGTTTCTATTTGTTGTAGTTTTATTTTATATTGGTACAGGTAAAAGGAAAAAGATTTGGTATGCGGAGAAAATATATATATTCGTATAGTATTGACAATAGATTTTTAAGTAACAAAACAAGAATGTGATAAAGGAGCTATAAATTTAGTATATAAAATGCATTTCTTATTAGCTAGTTACAACACTATTAATAACAGATATCCATTTTTTTTTTATAACACAAGGGACAAACGAGCATGCGGCTTACCTGATGGTAAGTGATTACCGCCGCCCATGAGCACCCGCAACACCAGGGGAATTGCAAGTACGTTGTCAGCCTTTTAAAAAGGAATAAGCTCTTTTCTTGAAGGTTTCAATATCGTATCGGTTCGGAAATACCATTGCTGGAAGGTGATTCCACAATGTGGTTGTGCGAGGCAAAAAGTTTCTAGAAAATCGTACTGTGGAAGACCGCCATTCATCCAGATGATCAGGATGGTATTTCAGTTTCTGGCGGGTGGTACGGTGGTGAAATTCAGCAGCTGGTATTAATCCGAACAATTCCTCAGAACACTCCCCGTGATATGTGCGGTAGAAAATGCATGTCTGGTGGGGTCTGCCGGGTCTTCTGGAATGGGTCACATGTCAAGTACAGTTCTCGTCATGTGGTCTGATGGTAGCAGCATGACGTGATAAGTGCCAACATAAAACTGTCTCGAATGTGGATGTATTGTTACCCTACCAGTTTTCTTGATGCTTTTTCATTGGCCAGCATTAGGCTACGTACGTTACTATGGGTAATTACTTCTGACGGGTGTCATAAAATTAAATTATAGCACTTCACTTACAAATGTCTAATTCTGTCATCTAGCCCTATCCTTAAAGTTGTGTTTGAACGGTGCGACAATATGGTTGGGTATTTACTGGTTAATATAACTAAATATCTTCATGTCTCCAGGGAGTTGAGTGTAGCAAGCACTCATGGGGTTGCTATAAGAAGGATTGATTATTGCCGTCGCCCTCGGTGTAAAAAAATAAGCGTCTAATTCTGGACTGAATTTATTTTAATGTTTTTTCCCATCTATTCTAAACTATTTTTGACGGCCTCGGTGGTCTAGCGGTTTTGGTACAGCGATTTTCTTCCCTCGATTGCGGGTTCGAATCCTCGCAGGGTACATGTGGGTACTTTTTACTATTTATATTCATGAGTTTGATGGTTTGTATTTGTCTGTGTGTTTTCTATTTATATTATGTATGTATATAAAAATCAGTTGTCTATTACCCATAACACAAATTCTGTTTAGCTTGGAACTAGATAGTAGTCCAGGCATATTATTATTATTTATTTGTATTCTAACCAGAGAGAAGGGGTAGTTTTGTCCTAAGACACTATGTTCCGTAGTTTCATTCAGATGGGAGGTACTGTCAGTTGATTATGTGTAAACAGAACATTTAACATGACCGACCACATTGCTCGCTGAGTATATTCTAATTTAATTTGGCAGGGGAGTAATTACTTATAGCGCCGTCTAGATTAGTTAGTCCTGTTTTTGTTAGATTATTTAATTAATCAGATGTATAAAGAGACAGATTTCATCTTTTTGATAGCAGTCGGGGATCTAGCCTCTAGGTCATGATGCTCAAATATTTTTTTTAATGCTATGGTGGTCATTTATAGAAGTAGTGTCATAAAAAGTAAAGTAGCAACGATATTATAATATAATATCGATTTAACCAGATGATGTCACAACTAAGCGCCTGTAACAGGGTTACAAAGCGGTATTGAGGTGCGTCA